AGGCTGAGGTGAGTGGATTGCCTGAGCCCACAGGTTCGAGACTCGCCTGGGCAACTTGGCAAGACTTCATCTCCACAATAAATCAAAAATTAGCTGGGTGTGGTAGCGCGCGCCTGTAGTTCCAGTCACTTGGAGGCGGAAGGATTGCCGGAGCCCAGCAGGTCGAGGCTGCGGTGACCGGGAGCGGCCACTGCCCTCCAGTCTGGGCGACAGAGTGAGACTCCAACTTTAAAAAAATAAATAAATAAATAAATAAATGTATATGTAATCCTGAAACAATATATTTGTTCTTTTTATTTGTTATTAACCTTCAGTTTATTCATTTTTTTCAATGCTGTGTAGTATAGTAGAATACTACAGTTATTCATTCTACTAGATGTGAGATTTGGATTATTTCTGATTTTTAGTTATTAAAAATAATATTGCTATAAACAGGGCAAGGACTAGGTAAGGCAAGCAAGGTGCTTAGGGTACAACTTTAAAAAAGTAGGAGTAAGTGGCACCTTAAGATTTGCACCCTAGGTACCTCACTGCCTCTCTTTAGTCCTAGCCCTGGCTATGAACATTATTATATATGCAGTCTGACAATTGAGTTCATGAATTCATCTTAGAAAAAGTGCTACATACCTCATTGCTGAATATTACTGTGCTCACCTTGGAAGTACTCCCCTTGGGAAGCTATGCACCGACGCCAGCACCTAGTGCACCTGTCAAAGCAATTTTGGAACTCTTTTTCTGGAATGGCCATCAGAGCTATCACATAAGTATTATTGGATAGCAAATGTATGATTTGACATTGACTTAATTTTTTTTTTTTGAGTTGGAGTCTCACTCTGTCACCCAGGCTGGAGGGCAGTGGCACGCTCTTGGCCACTGCAGCCTTGACCTGTTGGGCTCAGACGATCCTTCTGCCTCAGCCTTCCAAGTAGCTGAAACTGCAGGCATGTGCCACCATGCCTGGCTAATTTTTTTTTTCTATTTATTGCAGTGATGAGGTCTCGTTAAGTTGCCCAGGCAGGTCTTGAGCCTGCAGGGTCAGGCTGTTCTCTCACCTCGGCCTCCCAAAGTGTTGGGATTATAGGTGTGAGCCATTACACCTGGCTTGGCATTTATTTTTTAAACCATATTTCAAGTAATTCTTTGTATCAGAATATACATTTAATGGATTAATTATATGATTGTTAAATTACTGATTATTCTTGTTATTTGAATGCATCTTAAAGTTAGCAAGGTATATTGTGGTGCTTTAATATAGACTGCTTATTTCATTTCAGAGAAGTCAATTTCCTACATCTGCTGAACCCCAAAAACCTCGACTGAAAAAAGGTATGTATGTGTATATTTGCACAGATTACTCTGTCTTGTTAATTCTTTTTTTCTAAATACATTAGAGCTTTTCTTTCTTTTTTTTTTAAGGCAGGATTTATTGAGAGGACAGAAAAGCTCCCACAGTGGGCGGGGACCCAACGGGGTTACCCTGCATTAGAGCTTTTCAAAATGTGAGTGTTGGGAAAAGCAATAATAGTCTAAAAGTTCTATCACGTTCTAGCTTTTATTTAACGGAGTTGTTAGCTATTAGGGGATTCATTTGACCTGCAAATGTGTTTAAATGGGGTTTGATTATTATCTAAGTGTGTACTAATATTCTTCATGTGAAAAAAAACCATTCTGTGAAGTTCCCATAATACAACTCAGGCCTTAAGTAATCTTAGGTGCATGTTAAATAAATCTGGAATTTTATAAAAATTGAGTCTGGGGATACTAACTAGGTGAAAACCTATACTATACTATAGTTTAGGACCTAAACTATAAGGAGCTAAATTTTATAATCTAATAGAGATGTGATATAAATTTTATTTAGAAGAATAGGATTCCTTCATTTGCTAACTTGTAAAGTCTTAGAAGGGTTTGCATCAGCAATGTGACTATATTGGATATTCTCCCATGTCTGATGGATAGGGTGACTATATTTGATATTCCCCCATGTCTGACAGGGTGTCTTTTTTACTCATCAGACATTAGAAAAATACCTGAACTTTGTCTTTAACAGAAGAGACATTCATTACCCGTTCATCTATCTATTTTTGATAATTAATTATTTTCGGGTGAGGACATCCAGGGTTGAATGTAAAGTGCATGACTTGTCCAGGGTCTTGTGTGTGGTTGTTGTCTGCACACATGACTTACAGTTTTCAGGTTGTCCATCCTGTTGTACCATGTATTTTCCTATTAGTTACTAAGAGTCTTAAAGTTGATTTTGTCAATAACTGTTTAGTTTACTTAGGGCATTTCTGTCACGCTTTGAAATTATAATGCAGGCTATTGGAAAATATGATTGCCATTCAGAAATTTATATTACAAAGAGTTTTTCAGGAATACATCTTTTAGTGAAAGAGCTGTACATACATAATTTAGATTATTTGTAAATTTCAGATGTAATTCTGCCAATATCTAACATAATTGTTAATATTCTTTATACTGTTGGGGGACATGAAAATCATCTTGTTCCGATATCTGTTACTTTATTTAATTACCAGGGTGATTTGGCTAGTTAGATGGGGCTAGTGTGTATTGTGATTGTCTCTCCAATATTCATTCCACTCTTCTTCTAGAGTCAAACCCTATAGTTCCATTGCCTCCAGGTTCAGGAGAGAATTGCTTACCAATCAATAATTGATCAATGTACATTTCAGGTTAATGAATACAATGTTTATGACTTTGGGGGAAAGGGATACATTTGATATGTTGTACTATAAACTTTAACAGTGCCATTGAACCTTCAGAAGAAAGAACCTGAGATGGGGTTTATTCTAATCAGTTATTTCTTCTTTCTTCATCCCAGGGCAACTACTTTCTGATTTACATTATTAAAGTTTAGTTTTTTCTGTTTTTGAACCCTCATACATATGATATTTACCATGTTCCAGGACTAGTGATAGATACTGGGAATACAAAGATAAATAGGCCATAGATTCTTTTCTCAGGGAATTTACAGTCTTCAGGGAATATAGAATATAAGCAGATAATTAAAATACAGTGTTTTCTTTCCAGGTTCTTTCTTCTGAAGGTTCAATATCTCCAGTTCAGCAATTTAAAAAAAATTAAATGTGAGATGTTTAGCACCCCAAAGGCTATAATTGCCTTGATCCTCTGGTGAAATTTGGTGTTCTTCTTGGAAGTAGAATTCAGGACTAAATAGAATATTCTAGGCCAGGCTTGGTGGCTCAGCCTGTAATCCCAGCACTTTGGGAGGCCGAGGTGGGTGGATTGCCTGAGCCTGCGTGTTCAAGACCAGCCCTCATCTCTACAATAAATCAAAAAATCAGCTGGGCGTGGTAGCGCGTGCCTGTAATTCCGGCTACTTGGAAGGCTGAGGCGGAAGGATCGTCGGAGCCCAGCAGGTCGAGGCTGTGGTGGCCGGGAGCGGCTACTGCACTCCAGTCTGGGTGACAGAGTGAGACTCCAACTCAAAAAAAAAATTAGCCAGGTGTGGTAGCATATACCTGTAGTTCTGGCTACTTGGAAGGCTCATGCAGAAGAATCAACGGAGCCTAGCAGGTCGAGGCTGTGGTGGCCATGAGTGTGCTACTGCACTCCAGCCTGGGCGACAGAGTGAGACTCCAACTAAAAAAAAAAAAAGAATATTCTAGGTATGGTATGAACACCGCTAAGTGGAATATCTGGAAGATACTATCTCTTCATTTGAATCTTTTGTTTCTGTTATTTGAGCTTAAAGATTGCATTACCTTTTGGGCAACCATTTCACAAATATGCAATTCCACTATTGCAAAGTCATGATTCATGTAGAATACATTGACTATAGTATAAATGATACCTTTGGAGTTGTGCAAGGTGATGACACAGACACCTAAAATGTCCAGGATACAATCTGCCCTTAATTTCTGTCTTCCGTAACCTATAATTTTATCTATTATTATTATTATTTTGGGGGGTTGTAGTCTCATTCTGTTGCCCAGACTGGAGTGCGGTGGCACGCACGCTCACTGCCACCCCAGCGTTGACCTGTTGGGCTCTGGCGATGCTTCCACCTCATCCTTCCAAGTAGCTGGAACTACAGGCGTGCAATACCACGCCTAGCTAATTTTTGATTTATTGTAGAGACAAGGTCTCGCCAAGTTGCCTGAGCTGGTCTCGAACCTGCAGGCTTGGGCAGTCCACTCACCTTGGCTTTCAAATTGCTGGGATTACAGGCTGAGCCACTGAGCCTGGCTGATTTTATCTATTGATATGATAAATTACAGCGATTAAATTTTGGAATGTTGTACCAAGTTTGTATTCCTAGAATAAACCCCATGTAATCATGTTGTATTAAAGTTTTAAAATATTGTTGGATTCAGTTTGCCGATATTTTGTTAAGGATTTTTGCATTTGTGTTCACGAGGGATGTTGGTCTGTTTTTTTTTTTTGCAGTGCCTTTGTCTGTTATTGGTATCAGGTATTATGCAGGCTTCATAAAATGGATTGGGAATTATTCACTCTTCTATTTCCTGGAAGATTTTATATATAATTGGTATTATTTCTTTCTTAAATGTTTGTTGGAATGTTGTAGTAAAGCAGTCATGGCCTGGATTTTTCTTTGTTGGAAGGTTTGTAAGTACAAAGTCAATTTACTTAATACATGTAGGCCTAATTCAGGCTATCTATTTTTTTTTTTTTTTGAGAACTTTGTCAATATTTTCTTTGTAAAAAATTTCTCCATTTTATTTCAATTATTAAATTTATTGACATAAAGTTCATAATACTCCTATATTTTCCTTTTATTGTCTGTAGGATCTGTAGTAATGTTCCTTTAGTTCATGGTTTGGTGATTTATGTGTTCTCTTTTTTTTTCTTGATTAATCTAGCTAGAGGTTTGTACATTTTGTTACTCTTTTCATAGAACCAGCTTTTTATTTTATTGTTTCCCCCCCAAATACTGCTTTTTCTGTTTGTTTCATTGATTTCTGCTCTTTAGTATTTTCTTGGGTTTAATTTCCACATATTTGGGGATTTTTTCAGATCTCTTTTTGTTATTGGTTTTTAGTTTAATTCTATTGTGGCTAGAGAACATACTTTTTATGTGATTTATTTTATAGCCTACCATATGGTTTATGTTGATGTATGTTCCATGTGCACTTGGTAAGAATGTGTATTCTGTTCTTGTTGGATGGAATATTCTATAAATGTCACTTGGGCCAAATTAGTTGATGTTGTGGTTCTGTGTACTTACTGATACTGATATTCTTACTGATACAGGTATTGACAGAAGAGTTTTGAAGTATGTAAATATAATTTTGGATTTGTCTGTTTCTGCTTTGTTTTATCAATTTTTGATTTGTGTACTTTGAAGATTTGGTGTTGGATGCATATATATTTAGAATTATTTGTCTTCTTGGTGAATTTTCCCTTCTATCATTATATAATATTCCTATTCAACTCCTGCTGATATTTTTTCTTTGAAGTCTACTTTGATAATAATAATATAGCTATTCCAGTTTTGTTGTTGTTGTTGTTTTTGTTTTTGAGTTGGAGTCTCACTCTATCACTCAGGCTGGAGTGCAGTGGTATGCTCACGGCCTGATGGGCTCAGGCAATCCTTCCGCCTCACCCTTCCAAGTAGCTGGAACTACAGGCACATGCCACCATTCCCTGCTTATTTATTTATTTATTTATTTATTTATTTTAGAGATGAGGTCTTACCAAATTTCCCAGGCTGGTCTTGAACCCCTGGGCTCAGGCAATCCTCTCGCCTTGGCCTCCCAAAGTGCTAGGATAATACGTATAAAATGTGAAATACAGGATTTTATGAAGAATGTGTTAATCTTTTTCAGACTATGTTTTAGTGAGTTGCTTTCAGCAGTAAACAACAGAAATAGTAAGGAAACTTACTGGCCTATGTAAGAGGCAGTCCAGAATTAGAGGGGGCTCCAGGTTTGGTGCAGCAACTCAATGATGTCATCAAGGCCTTAGTTCTTTCTGCCTTTACATCCTGCTACCCAGTGCCTGCCATTTCCTGAATTATAGCTGCCAATGGCATTCAGGCTTCATTTTCCCAATGGTGAGGATATGATTTAGCTTCCAGTAGTGTGCTATTTTAAAAATAAGAAGCCCTTTTCTCCAGATTCTACTAGGAATACTCTTCATTGTACCAAATTGATTGAACTGCCAGTCAGTGAACCGGTCATGGATAAAGGAGATAGGATTCATTGATTACTTTCAGTGAATCAACTTATATGGAGTGAAATGAATTTTGAGGAGCCAAGATTATTATTACTGGCTACAAAGCACAGTAAAACAGATAAGTACCTGTTGTAAGTATTGTAAAG